GAAAGTGGGCTGAGAAGTGTCAGTGCCGGGGCGAGTGCTGCTGGAGGCAGCTTTGGTAGGAGTGGAAGTGCTGGCAGTGGGAGGAGCGGGAGAAGCGCAAGAAGTCGAAGTGCTGGAGGGAGAAGTAGGAAAGACCTGGAGGCAGGATTAGGGGGAAGAGGAGAGCTTTATCCGTAGCTCTGGTGGTGATTTTTTTCTTGCGCTTTTTGCTTTCTGCTTTTCGTTTTCTGGATGTTCTGTTCACTGTATACCCTTTTGACGTTTTTGTTTCTTCCTCTTCTGTCAACGCTTTCATCTGAAAACTACTGTATAATCATCATCATCATCATCATAACGACAATCCACATGCAAATTAGACATGAAAAATGTGATGCCCAAAAATGCTGCGAGACTCGATATGCCTCGACTTGACTGGCCATGAATAGCCATCGTCCCTTATATCTCCTTTTCTCCTCATGACCAGCTCCAGGCCAATGAAGACGCTGCACAGTGTACCCCCCTTGTCTTGCGCGTCACCACTGATCATAATCCTGCTGGCTTCTGGTGTATCAGAGAGAGCTGTGGGTATGCTGGACATGCTGCCAGACAATCTGAATATGACCATCCATGATTGTAGGCAGCGATGGATTGTGACTGTGAAAAGACCTCAAAAACATGACCATTTCACCTCATCCATCTTCGCTACATACCCTCCCGATCTCGAATTAACTTCCTCATTCGATCGGTCATCCATCTAATCTATCTATCCATCATGTTCTCTAGACTTGCGATCTTCGGCGGCGGCCATGCAAACCTTGGAGAGGGCCGGACTCGCACCCACGGCTACGGCGAACCAGGCCATGATCAAAATAGTGCGAACAGGATCCGGGGCGGCGACAGTGCTTATAGTATTAATGATGACAGTGAGGGACTTGGTGGTGTCGCTAATGCTGGTGCTGGAGCTGGTGCTGGTGCTGGCGATCATAGTGGAACTGTCTCTCGCACTCATACTTCCTCCTCTCTTCTTTCGCACGCCCGTCATGCCTCACAGTCTCGTTCTGCTCAGCACAGCATAATCAATAATAATCATCATACCAGTAACGGGCATGCCAGGATCTCTTCAGCGCATACTGTCATCATGCCGTCTCTAGGAAGTGAGTGTCTGTCTGTTTTATCTCTGCGTGGTCGATGGAAGATGTGCATCTTCACGGGCTTCTCCACCTACTTGCGCTCACCGGCGTATCATAACATGACCGCATCGTCACAATCATCCACCCATTCCCTGTCCGATTTATTATTATTTTTTTATATCTTCTTCTTCTTCTCCTGATGCCTTCGTTTCTTGCATTTTCATCATCTTTGTCCCGTCGCATCTCGTCATCTTTTCTATTTGTTGTCGATTTGACTGACTGACGTATGGCTATCGCCTCTTCTACTCCTCCAGTTCACTCCCCACGATCCTCCGCCTCAATGGAACATCCACGACGCTCGGATTCTCCTCCCATGGAGGACGAAACTGTCGTCGACCCTGATCAGGGCAACAGTAAGCTTTGCCCTTTGATGTCTGCTTCTGCAGGAACCCCATCTGCGGACTGGCGCAAGATCATGCTGGCTGACCACTCTCCGCTTTTTGCGCAGTCCTGTTGCACATCATCTCTCAACTCAGGCCCGGCGCAGACCTATCGCGGGTTGTCTTGCCTACTTTCATTCTAGAGCCGAGATCTATGCTGGAGAGGATCACAAAGTGCGTATCTCCTTATGTTTGTTCGTCCTGCGCGGCGGAATTCTGTGCGGTTTTGTTCGAGGAGCTTCCCTCCCCTGGACGGAGACTCTTCGATATTCGAACCATTTGCCCCCTGCTTGGACTAGTTAGGGGTTTGCGCATTTATACTGATTGACATCTATCTTGCTTTCGACTACAGCTTCATGGCCCATCCTGAGATGCTACTCCCCATCCCCGAAATCGAAGATCCCGTCGAACGTTTCGTTTCAGTCGTCAAATTCTACTTGTCAGGATGGCACATCAAACCACCGTACGTCTTGTTTCTTCCCCCTTACTACCTACTCAATTATTACTGTTGCCTCATTTTCTCCCTGTGTGACGCTAGTCTAACGATTTCCTGCTTTTTGCTTTGAAAAATTTAGCGGCGTGAAAAAACCACTGAATCCTGTTCTTGGTGAAACATTCACGGGCTACTGGACTTATCCCGACGGTACCCACGGCTATTACATTTCGGAGCAGACATCACATCATCCGCCCAAGTCAAGCTACTTCTTCATGGCTCCGGAGCATCATATTCGTGTTGACGGTACATTGAAGCCGCACAGCAAGTTCTTGGGTAACTCTGCGGCGAGTATGATGGAGGGCGTTGCGTGCTTGTCACTACTCAATCACGGAGTTCAGGGGAAGGGAGAGAGATAGTGAGTTTTTCTTGTTAAAGATTCGCGAGTTGTCTTATTTGATATTGTGTAATCTTACTAACCTGTTGGTTCAATGCAGCCTTCTTACGCAACCAAACATGTATGCCCGTGGCATCTTAATCGGCAAGCTGAAGTTTGAACTCGGTGACCACAGCTATGTCCGCTGCCCCGAGAACGACCTCGTTGCAGACATTGAATTCAAGACAAAGGGCTGGTTCTCTGGCGGATACAATGCTATCGGCGGCACAATCAAGAACACAAAGACAGGGGAGATATTGTATGAAATTTCCGGTCATTGGAACGCTGAGATGTTCATCAAGGATCATGCTGTGAGCTACTTCACCCCTTCAATAGATGTTCAAAACAATTTGCTAATCAGGATTACTTGGCACAGACCGGCACAAAGGAATGCTTCTTCAATGCCTCACATTCGAAGCACACCCCTCCAACAGCCCGTCCTATCGACCAGCAATACCCCACTGAATCGCAGCGTCTTTGGAACCCCGTCATCCAAGCCCTTTACGACCGCAACCATGACGTTGCTACCGACGAGAAAACTAAGATTGAAGAGAGCCAGCGTGAAAAAGCGGCTAAGCGCGTCAAGGATGGCGTTCAGTGGAAGCCGAAACTCTTCAGACCTGTTGAAGGTGGACCCGGCAACAGAGACGAGGGCGAGGAGGATTTGGACTGGATCATTGATGCGACTGTCGATGCGGAGAATCCGGAGGTTGCCGTTAAGCAAATTCTCAAGATCGCACCAATCATGGAAGGTCAAGCTTGGGATGAAGAAGGGAGGGTGTCCTCGCCCTCGCCGGAAGTGATGCAGGCGCCGGCGAAAGAGCAGCCCGAAACCCCTCTGCCGAAAGAAAAACCTGAGCAGAAGGAAGATGAGGGGAACTTGATTGATATGAGTGATGATGAACACAAGAATGAAACCCGCCAGGAACCCCGCCCCCAGTCACGCCCGCTCAGCAGCATGTCTAAGAGATCATCGTCAAAGCCGGATTCCGTGAGAAGTGGCAGTGATAATAGCAAGGACCATCATGGACACGGGCACAAGCATAAGGAGCATGGAACATCGAAGCTCAAGAAGTTCCCGAACATGAAGGATCTGATAGAACCCCTGAAGCCGGAGAAGCACCACCACAAATAAGCTTATGCGGGACATTGTTTATATCTTGCAGGAGTAGGGCGCGGGGTTCGCGAACACTTAATGGATCCTTCGGAGTGATTGGAGGCTTTGCCCAGTATTGAATGGGGACACTTACTATCACGACTACCACCATGACTACTACTACAACTACTGCCATTACATACCACACCACGCATCGCCACATCTGTGAACGACACACGTTACTGGCTTAATTTTATATGTATCACGAAACACCGGCATGCGGATCTGAACCCTCCAGGAGTACCACATGTCGAATGCAGGGCAATCGCAATTGAAATGCTTTTGAACAATTGCGCATCAACTTTGGGATACTGCATATATTGCAGATTCTTACAAAGTACAAACTTGCCACCATGGATATATCGTTGATTTCTGAGGATAGGGATGGGGTCCCCTTTTTTATCTTTTCTTTCTTTCTTTTTGAGATATGAGGAATATGAAAGACTACTTACTTTAATTGACTGGCTTTTTGGTCGAATGGATATTGGGAGCTGCAATAATCGTTTTTTGGTTCATGATGATGATGATGATGATGATGTCGTTCATCGCAATGCTTTCTCTGTTTTCTTCTCAGCCCTTCCTCTACTCTGTGCCTTTTTATTTTCTTCCCTTTCTGCGGTTTTGAGATCACATCGTAATGTCTTGCTACAGATATTGTTTGTCGTTTCTTTTTTCTGACATTTTTTTGGATTTGAAATCACCTTGTATCTACTTTTTCAGTCTGGCTTGTTTGAGATATCAGAATCAAGCGTCATACATATAATCTCCCTTTCCTTTGACAACCTGCTAAAACTGAGATCTGCAGTGATTATATGCACTCTAAACTTGCGAAATTCGTATGAAAGCCTAAGCAGGAATCAATTATCTTGTCTTACCTTATCCCATTCTATCCAATTCGATATGAACAGTGCAAGACATCTGATTGATCAATCTTATGGAATCCTGAAGATCTCAATCCTCATAAAATCGTCATCACCGTCATCATCAGCCCAGAGTCTCAATTCTCGATTTCATTTGGCGAGCAAGCAAACTTCCGAATCTTCGTGTCTATGCTTTCGGCGCCACCCTCGACTGTCTTGTCCCTCCATTTGCCCTGCCCCACCAATGGAGGTCGCCAGTGGCCCCTTTGCCCTCTGCTCTTATGGGTGCTCTCTGGACTGAGGAAAAGCGAGGGGGAAGAGACCAAAAAAAATTTAGTGTTGGGCGATTCCGTAGATAAGTAAGACGGCTCAGCCCGGCAATGGATTAAAAAAGGGACGCAAGATACCTTGATTTCTGGACAGCCGACCTGGAGAACGATAATAAACCCTTCTTTTGCTCGCTTGCTTGCTTGCTTGATTAATTGATCGACTGATTCTTCAAGAGACAAAGCCCCTGCTGATCTGCTTGTGAACGAGAATTCATTGCATCGTATAGCAAATCATCCATGGCGCCAAAACATCCCCGCGTCGGCATCCTCGGCGGCGGCCAGTTAGGTCGCATGCTGGTCATGTCTGCTAACCAGCATAGCATTCCTGTCACTATTCTGGACTCGCCCAATGCGCCGGCGAAGCAGGTCTCGACGCACGCAGACCATATTGACGGCTCCTTTGCTGATCCTTTGTCGGTGCGAGAGCTCGCTAACAACTGCGACGTCATTACCGCAGAGATTGAGCACGTCGACACCTATGCCTTGGAAGAGGTTGAGAAGGATACCGGGGGCAAGATTAAGATTGAGCCCTCTTGGAAGAGTATCCGCATCATTCAGGATAAATTGACTCAAAAGGAGCACTTGGAGAAAGCTGGTATCGCGCAGACAGAGTATGTGTCCTTGCAGAAGGAGGGCGGCGAGGAGGGGGCCGAGGAGGAGCTTGAGAAGGTTGGTGAGAAGCTCGGGTATCCCTTCATGCTGAAGAGCAGGACTTTGGCATATGATGGACGAGGTGAGTCTGTCGTTCTACTCGAGTTTGGCTTGCTCTTGGGATGACAATGACAATATTAATCCATTACTACCAGGAAACTTCGCTATCAAGTCGAAGGAGGATATCCCTCAGGCCCTCAAGGACCTCAAATCACGGCCCCTCTACGCTGAGAAATGGGCCGATTTCAAGATGGAATTGGCTGTGATGGTCGTCAAGACATCTTCGGGCGTCTACTCATATCCTACTGTTGAAACCGTGCAGGAGAACAGTATCTGCAAACTTGTTTATGCCCCTGCACGTAATGTCTCTCCCGCTATCAACAAGGCAGCCCAGAAGCTTGCCAGAGACGCCATCGCCAGCTTTGAGGGGAAGGGCGTCTTTGGTGTCGAGATGTTCTTGATGCAAGACAAGTCCCTTCTCATCTGTGAAATCGCTTCCCGCGTTCACAATTCCGGACACTACACGATTGAGGCATGTGAATTGTCTCAATTCGATGCTCACCTTAGAGCTATCTTGGATCTCCCCATCTCTGCAGAGAGCTTGGAGATGCAAGTGCCCGCAGCTATCATGTTGAATGTTCTCGGTGGAAAGGAACCTAGCAACCACCATCGTCTAGAAGAACTCGCACTGAGCATCCCTGGCGCAAGACTTCATCCTTATGGCAAGGGGGATGGTCGTCCTGGCCGTAAGATGGGCCACATTACAGTGACTGGCCGCACTATGAGCGAAGCTGAGCGCCGCTTGAAGCCTCTACTTGAGTTGAACATTGATAATCCAGCACCTACAGCTGCCTCGGTGGTGCCCACACCAACTCGCGCCCCTGACCCCAACCAGCCATCATCTCTCAAGCGCCCTTCATCGTCGCCCGTTGCAGTCATCATGGGTTCTGACTCCGACCTCAAAACTCTTGTGCCTGGACTGCAACTCCTCAAGGACCACTTCGCCATTGTTCCGGAGGTCGAAATCACCTCTGCGCATCGTACCCCACTCTACATGACGCAGTACTGCCAGGCTGCCGCCGGGCGTGGTATCAAGGTCATCATTGCTGCTGCTGGAGGTGCCGCTCATCTGCCTGGCATGGCTGCTGCCAACACCACTTTGCCGGTCGTTGGTCTTCCCGTAAAGGGAAGCAGCTTGGACGGCGTCGACAGCTTGCACAGTATCGTGCAGATGCCTCGTGGTGTCCCCGTCGCGACTGTCGGTATCAATAACTCCGTCAATGCCGCATTGCTCGCGATGAGAATCTTGAGCGTTGCAGACGACACGATTGGTAAGATGTTGGCGCAGTATGCCACTGCTGCAAGAGATGAGAACTTGGATGTTAAGGGCCCGAGGATGCGGGAGATTGGATGGGAAGCATACTGGGAAGAGATGCAGGGGAAATAAGTCTGTCTGTATTCCCTCGATCGTTCGCAGCGAGTTGGTTTTTTTTACGAGTATTAAGGAGCTACGATGTTACGCTAGCTTAGCCATTGCATAGTCTTTTTTTTCATATATTTCCATATCTGTTCTCTCATCTGTATGAACACGAATGTTAACATGATTCATCGATACAGCTCCTAGATACATACATACAGTAAGAACATATGTGCCCATGCTGGACCAGGGAAGCTTCATTAGAAGAGTGCACCAAGGGTATATAGAAGATACCGGCACAGTCGACCAAGCTTGTATCGTGTCTTGTCATTATCAGCACATCCCCCAGGCCTAACCAAACACGAAGGAGGCCAATCAACCCGCCTCAACGGATGGATGAATCTAAACACTTGATCAACGGCACCAGAGTAAGGGATATGCTGGATATTCTTAGATGCTTTTCGAGCTTCATTACCATGGTCCGGCTGAATCCCAAAGAGTTTTTCTCTTTAACCCCCCCGCGTCATCTCGATCAGCAGATCGACTGTTTTGAGGATGCTTCATGATATGAACATCTATTTTGTTCTTGGACATCCATCGTGCTGATGGCCTGAATCGAAAAAGAAATTGACTGGCCTTGGTCGTCACATTGTTCTTGACTGCACATGATGGGGCTCTATTTGACACAAACGCAGCTGGCGCTGTGCATTGTCGTGCTGTCGCTGATAACAGCGGCCATCAAAATCGCAGAGTACGTCGTGATACAGCTATTATTATCCGAAGCTGGATATGGATCACTATCGGGTGTGGTTTCGTCGCGTCGTGCATGGGCTAATTGCTTTCGTCAAAAAATAGTGATGTTCAGATGTTTGATAAGTCTAGGACTGAAGATGAGGTCCATCGAAGTGAGCTTATGCCCATGATTTGTCGTCCCACCCTGTACCATATAGGAAACATGTCCTCTAACGCTTATACACGGCAAAGGCAATATCCTCTACAAAAGCGCCCTTTCTGGCTTCTCCTTCCTCGCTGGTCTCGCGTGTTATGCACTGGGGGACGTTTTCGCAATCATAAGCCTCCCATTCATCGGTCTCTCATTGTGGTATGTCTCGAAAGTTTGGGTGTCGGTATCAGCACTCTACACCTTGTCGAAGAAGAAAAGGAATGCAGCAGCTGGCTCAGAGGAAGCGGTGCCCTTAGCAGCCGACTCTGAGCAGGAGGTATCTTCAGAAGCTGCAGATCCGAGGGTGCAGCACGATGAAGAGCAAGCTATCCCTACACCGGAATCGAGGCAGTAGAGGATGCCTGGGTGATTGGTATGCGATATACTTGCGAGATGCATGCAGTGGTTTATATGAAACGAGAAATTACATTCTGCGATGAAATCTGTCTTTGACAGCTATTTTTCTTATTTTCATTTTTGTTTCTTCACAATTGAATATTAGAGGTCCTCCAGAAACATACGTTTGGAGTATGTGCCAACAGACCAAGCCAGTTCGAACGAAGTCAGAGAGTCGTCTATAAATCTTTTGATGAGATTTAATTGAGACTTGGAATCCAATCTTTATATAAAAGATTGAAATAAATATCTTTTGAATTCATGAAATTTATGCATTACTACTGGCTGCATTGAACTCAGACATCAAAAAGGAAGAAAAAATATTCAGACGAATCAACACGAGAGAAAACACATAGGACAAGAGAAGAACTTCATGATCATGATTTAGATATCAAAAAAAGAGAAAAAAATAGCCTCACTATCCAGTTCCATTAATATTTTTCACACACGCCCCCTCTCCCTCTAATTACCTTATCTACCTCGTCCTAATGACACCCGCAGCAATCAACTTCTGCACCTTCGTCCTAACCTGCGGGTTCTGCATATGCTCCATCAACGCAGCAGGATTATCCTTAGCCTGCTGCAAAATACTCTGCATGACAGGATCCTGCAAAATACCCATAATCTCCGGATCCTTCTGTATTCTCTCCGCAGTCTGCTGCTCCGTCTCGCCCGCACGAGCACTGTACATCCCTTCGAGCGCCTTCTGCATCTGCGCATCGATCTCACGGGCATTGGCGCCGTTGGCATCGTGTTCGCTCGCCTCGGTGCAGACGTCGACGCAGCGGCTGTACTCCTTCATGGCGTAGAGGGCCTGGGCCTTGCGGAGGTAAGCACGGATGAAAGCAGGGTCACGCTTGATGGCTTCGTCGCAGTCGGTGATAGCCTGCGGCATAGCCATGAGCTTGATGAGTGCTGCGGCGCGGTTAGAATAAGCCCTTGCGTCTTCGGGAGCGCGCTTGGTCCATTCCGTGTATGCGTCGACGGCGGCGGGGTAGTCGCCTGCCTTGAACTTCTCGTTACCCAATTCACGCGCCTTCTGGGCTTCTTCCGGGTTGATGTATGCTTCCTTCTCGGCCTTGATTTTGGCTTTCTCTGCGTTGCGGAGTTTGGTGAGGATGTCCGGTGTGCGGTGCTCGGTGAGGGATTTCTGGTAGAAGGTGATGGCGTTTGCGTAGTCGCCCTTGCGCTCGTAGGCGGTACCGATACGACCGAAGGCCTTAGCGATGATCTTGAAGTCGGCGAGCATTTCGCGGCCCTCGGTGACGGCGGTCTGGCAGGCCTCGATACAGCCGTCGAAATCACCTTGCTCGAACTTGGCGGCTCCCAGGTTCGTTAGGTATGTGATATCCTTGTACAGTTCCCAGGCCTTGGTGTAGTGCGCGATGGCGTCGTCGAATTCACGTTTCTTATAGCTGGCAGTACCCAATGCCTTCTCCTTATCGGCCTCCTCCTTGGCCTTGCGCTTAGCGGCGGCCTCATCATCCTCGACAACCTCTGGTTCTGGCTCTGGCTCGGGTGCAGGCTCTGGCTTCTTCTCCTCCGTCTGAGGTTCTTGCGCAGGGGCATCCTGCATCTTAACATCCTCGGCAGTAGAGTTCTCAGTAGCAGCCTTAGCAGCATCCTCAGGGTTGCCGAACTGCATATCGATACCCATCAAAACACTCATGACCTGCAAGAACCTGGGATCCTGGAAAGCCTCCTGCATGCCGTTGGGGTTGTTTCTGAGAGACATGAGCTTGTTGACGAATTGCTGATCGGCAAGGAGAGCTGATGTCTTGGGGTTGCTAGCGAGTTTCTGGATGAGGTTTGGGTCCTTGAACATATTCATGAAGTCGCCAGCGCCGGCAGTTTCGCTCTCCATTGCACGCTGGACGGCGTCGAGGCCAGCCTTGGCCTGAGCATTGCTTGGGTCGAGTTTGAGGGCCTCCTCGTAAGCGTCATTTGCAGCGACTGAACAGAACAAAAAAATTCCACGGGTTAGTTCCCTGCTGATATTTGATATATATATAGACTGCGAGTGAAAAGGGTTTAAACATACGTAAATCACCTAGACCGTGCAAAGCAGCACCTTTACGGCCCCAACCCTTAGGCCAATCGGGCTTAATCTCTGTTGTCTTCTCGGCATCCTCCAACGCCTTCTGGAAGTTCTTCTGCGAGGCATATGCGCCGGACCTGTTCGAATATAGGACATGGTTTGTAGGGTCGAGAGCGATAGCTTCTGTGAACTTCTGACTATATGAAAAGGAAGAAGAAGCAAGAGTCAGTATTTGCGCGATATGATATGTCGATGCTGCCTGAGGAGGTTGATGTAAACCCCTCCAAAGAACTCCCCCTCCCTCCTCTCAAAAAATCAAACTTACACTGCGAGGTCGAAATCCTTGGCAGCGAAGGCCTTGTTGCCCTCAGCCTTAAGAGCGTCAGCCATTATTGATATATGGG